CCCTCGCCGCCGCCCCCCCCCCCCCCCCCGCCCCCGCTCATCCCCCGGTACCGGCCGCAATCTCTCTTTCTCCTGGAGCTCGGTTCCCACGACAATGGATCCCAGATCTGGCGCGTCGCCGCTCTTCGGCATGACCGCAGTCGGCCCCCCGGCTGATGTTGATCTTTTCCCTTCGGTTCGCCTTTCCCTCCCGCTCCTCGAACATCCTACTTGCCCTCCCCCCCCCCCTCCTTTGTTTGTCCTGTTCCGCCTCTTTCCTTCTCCTTCCCTCTCCCTGTCCTCGCGCTCTGTTCTCATTCTAATGTGCACCTGCTGGTCAGATGCCTTCGGAATCCTCCTGGGCCGACTTCGAGCAGAAGGTCCTCGAGGCTACGGCTTCCTTTTCCTCGATGGCCGAGGCCTTTGGCGACGCGCCCTCACCAGCTGCCGGTTCCAGCTCCTCAACGACCGCGGCCCCGGCGCCATTGGCTGGGGCCGAGCCGACCCCGCCCGTTGGTTCTGCCCTTTCTCCCTGCTCCCCCTCTTCCAAGCGCGAGCGTCCCCGGGAGGATGGCGAAGAGGAGGCCTCCTCACCGCCGCCCAAGCGCCCGGCCACCGATGCCGAGGATTCCGCAGCAGCCTTTGTCGGCTTCCGCACGGCCGGCTCAGGCGCTGCCATCCCGCTCCAGGCAAAGTCGCTTGCCGCCGCGGAAAAACTCCTCGGCGAGGTTGAGCAGTCCACGGCATCGATGTTGTCGCAAACGCGGCCGGCCCAAGAGCAGGAGGATGTCGCGGCCAAGGTGCCTGACACGCTTGCCGAAAGTGACCCCGGCTTCCAGGGCTTCAAAACTGCCGGCAGTGGCAAATCGATTGCCATCTCCGAGGCATCGATGTTGAAGGCACGCGGAATTGTCCGCGACGTGGAGAAGGATCTGGCTGTGGCTGCCCCCTCGGGCGAGGGGACAGCGGGGACTCCGCCCCCGGGGCCCGGCCCCATGGCCCCGGAGGCGCCGGCGGAATTTGTGGGGTTCCGGCTGGCCGGGACCGGTGGCACGGTTCGCCTCTCGGCAGCGGCCCTGGCCCAGGCTGAGAAGTTGATTGGCTCGATCGCCAGCAGCCCGGAGCTGCCTGTCGGGCCGGGGGAGCCGGCCGCGGGGGCAGCGCCACCGGCGGCGCCTCCCGCCAGCAGCGCCCCGCGTCGTGTGGGCCTCGGCGCCAGCCGGCCCGCCCTTGGACCACGCTTCCGATCGGGGGCGCCCTCTCAGCGCCCTTTCAAGCCGCCGACCCGGGTGCCGGCGCACGCGCCGAGTCAGACCAATGCCGGGGAATGACGTTTCCGATGAGGCCCCCCCCCCTGCTGCAGCCAATACATTTATCCTATCGTATACCAACGGTCCCACGCGGACAGTGGGCACATTTCGCGCACCTTCCAGACCCAAGCGTGGGCAGATGGCCGCGTGTCGGGGCCATGCCTGCCGGGACCGGGCGCAAAAAAGGCTCCTGTGTGAGTGCCCCGGGGCCGGCCGCCGTACACACCACGCAAGAGGGGGTTTCTCTCCGCGGATCAGCCCGCACCTCGTGCGCGCTGTTCCCCCGGTCCGGGGCCCGGCTCTTTCCTCGGTGGAGGCCCATGTTCCGGGGGGATGTGTGGCGTGCCATCTTTTTCCTCCGGGGCGGGGGGGGGTCTTTTTGAGACCCCACTGTGGGGCCGTGGGCCGCGGGTTGAAGGGCACAATCAGTGCTCGTATTCCCCTTCCCCCTTCCTCCCTTCCTCCGCCTCGTTTTCCTTTCCTCCCCCCTCTCCCTCCCTCCCTCTCTCCTCCCGTGACTGCGCGTCCGTCAGGAACACATAGTGACCATGGTCCCGATCCCGGCCAAGAAGCGGGCACCGGCTGGCCCATCGGCTGCTGGCAAGAAGCCCACCCCTGGCGGTGCTGGTAAGCAGCTCGCCAAGGCAAAGTCTGGTGCCGCCGCCAGCAAGAAGTCCGCCAAGGCGGCGCCTGCTCTCTCGGATGAAGACCTTGATGGGTTCGTCCATGTCCCTTCTTTTCCCTGCCGTGCTTCCTTTCACCTGCTTGGTGTTTTGGTCTCGCCCCGCAAGGAACGCTGATTTGCCTCCTTCTCCCCCCCCCCCCAATAGGTTCCGTCTGCACGATGTGCAGGACGACGCCTATGACTTCGGCGACGACGATGAGTTTGGTCTCGGTGACGGCGAGGCAGAGTTTGCCTCTGAGCACGACGACCGGCCCTCTAAGAAGGCCGGCAAGAAGAAGGCCGGCAAGCCGGCCGACGACTCGGATCTCGAGGAGGAGGACGACAATGACGCCGATGATGTCGATGGCTCCCTTGCCAAGGAGTTCATTTCGGCCGCCAAGCGCAAGGGCAAGGCTGGCTCCTTCGTGTCGATGGGTATGTGGCCATGCGCGGCGTCGTTCTGGGGCCTCATTTTCTTTGTCCCTTTTTTTCCCCCCCATCCTTGCCTGCCTTGGTGACCAGCCCCCGACTAACCGGCCGCCATCCAACAGGCATCTCCCGGACCACCCTGCGCGCCATTCAGCGCAAGGGCTTCTCCCAGCCGACCCCCATCCAGCGCAAGACCATTCCCATCATCATGGAGGGCAGCGATGTGGTCGGTATGGCGCGCACCGGTTCCGGTAAGACCGCCGCCTTTGTCATTCCTCTGATTGAACGCCTGCGGTCCCACTCGGCCAAGGTGCGTCTTGCCGATTGCCTCTCACAACCCCGAGGGTCTTCCCTCGCGCCCGCTCCCTCCGCCCCCTCCCCGCCCCTGGCTTCCGTGATCCTGACCCCATCCGCCGTCACTCCGTGCTGGAATGTACTTTCCACCGCCCACTCCCCTCTCCAGGTCGGCGCCCGTGCCATCATCCTGAGTCCCTCGCGTGAGTTGGCCCTGCAAACGCACCAGGTGTGCCGGGATCTGGGCCGCTTTACGGATCTGCGCACGGCCATGTTCATTGGTGGTGAGAGTCTGGATGACCAGTTCACCGCCATGGCCAACCATCCGGACATCATCATCGCCACCCCCGGTCGTCTGTTGCACGTGCTGGTGGAGATGGACTTGAAGCTCCTGGCGGTGGAATATGTGGTCTTCGATGAGGCCGATCGGTGCGGCATGGGCTTCTTTTCTTCGGCTTTTTGCCCCTGCTTTTCCTGCTTCTTTTTTTCCTCGATCTAACGGATTTGCCCTTCCTCCGCCCTCCTCGCGACAGCCTCTTTGAGATGGGTTTCGCCGAGCAGATCAATGAGATTCTCAGCCGCCTCCCGCCCAATCGCCAGACGCTGCTCTTCTCGGCCACCCTGCCGAAGATGCTGGTGGAGTTCGCGCGTGCCGGCCTCACCGATCCGGTGCTGGTTCGCTTGGATTCGGAGACCAAGATCAGCGACGACTTGAAGGTATACATCGATAATGCGGGCCATGTCCCTTCCTGGGGGGCCATGTGGCAACTTTGGTCGGGTCATCTTTCCCTTGTCCCCTTTTCTTACACACCAAACTAACTTTCCTCCCCTTCCCAGATGTCCTTCATCGGCACTCGCCAGGAGGACAAGTTCTCCCTCGTGCTCTTCACTCTGCGGCACATCATCCCCGAGAAGCAGGTATCTTTTGCGGATGCTTTGCTTTCTTCCCTTGCCCCCCCCCCCCCTCCCCCGCTCAGCTCTCCTTCTTTGCCGCCCTGGTCATGCTACTTACCTTATCCCGGCCCCAGCAAACCATTGTATTCGTGCCGACGCGCCACCATTGCGACTACCTGCAGCTTATGCTGCAGCTTGCCGGGATTGAGTCGCGATCGATCTATGGTCAGCTGGACTCATCCGCGCGGCACATTTCCCTCAGTCGCTTCAAGAAGAAGACTCTTCGAGTGCGTGTGCCTCTTTTGGGTGGGATTTTTCTCTGTTGGCGGAGCAAAGAAAGAAAGGGAAAGCCTCTCCCACCTCTCGCGTGGCTCTTTCGCCGCCCTTTAACCCGTGGCTCTGTGATTCTTTCTTTTTTTTTCTCCCCTCCCCCCCCCACCCCCACCCTCTCGTGCATCGGGACGGCCGGATCCGCCGCCCGTGTCATGATAGATTCTCATCGTGACGGATGTTGCCTCGCGTGGTTTGGATATCCCCCTGCTGGACAATGTGATCAACTACAACTTCCCCGCTCGGCCGAAGCTCTTCATCCATCGTGTGGGTCGTGTTGCGCGTGCTGGACGCTCGGGCAATGCCTACTCGCTGGTGTCCTCCGACGAGCTGCCCTACATGATGGAGCTCCAGCAGTTCCTCGGCAAGCCGCTGACCGTGGTGCCGACGCAGTACAAGTCCAAGGCCGAGCTGGAGGATTTCGACCAGAAGACACGCGGCGTGTCGGTGCAGTATGGTGTCGTTCCGCCGAACACCCTGGACTCGGAGAATGAGTGGCTTTCCCGCCAGCTGGAGGACAATGTGGATCTGCACTCCATGAGCAAGGTCATCACCAATGCCCAGAAGATGTACATCAACACCCGTCCCCAGTGTGACAATCCGGAATGCCATGACCGCGCGAAGGAAGTGCTCGATGCCAAGGCCGGCATTCACCCGCTGTTCATCAATTCCATTCAGGATGGCGAGGTGGAGCAGGCTTCCATCATGGACCAGATTCGCTCCTTCCGGCCGCAGATCGTACGTTGTGGCCGTCTTTTTCGCTGTGTGGCGGCGCGCGTGGGCACGCGCGATGTGCATGGGTGGGCGGCATTTTTAGACTCATGCGTCGCCCCCGGGGGGGTATGTTCACTGACATGAGTTGTTTCCAATGGCAGACCATCTTTGAGCAGGGCAAGAACGCCCGTGGCGGGCAGCTGCTCATGCAGAAGACTCGCCAGCTTCACTCGAGTGTGCGCTTCACCAGCGAGCTGATCAAGGAGAAGAAGCAGCTGGCAACGACCCTGCTGTCGAAGCTGCCAGCCGTGGCCAAGAGCGCATCCAAGCGGGACACCCGCTTTGACTCGGACTCCGAGGGCGAGGATGGCCTGGAGCAGGCGGAGCTCAACTCGCCTGAGGTTCTGAGTGTCTTCAGCAATGTCGTTTCCACCGGTGGCCGGAGCATGAGCGGCGCCTTCCGGGACAAGGCCAACTACATTGCCTACCAGCAGCAGGACACCCACACCGAGCGGGGCTATTCTCTGTCGGAGTCCGGGAACTTCGTGCAGCAGGCCCAGGGCGCGTCCATGGACATGATTGGTGATGACAGCGAGACCATGCGCAATCACAAGGTGCAGATGAAGTGGGACCGCAAGAAGAAGAAGTTCGTCCGGTCGGACCCTCTTGGAGCCATGTCGGCGGATGGCAAGACCAAGATGATTCGCACGGAGGCCGGAAACCTGATCCCGGCCAACTACAAGGCCGGTGCGTATGACGAGTGGAAGAAGCGCAACCGAGCCCTGCTGGACCGTACCGACACGTCCAGCGGATCGATCGAGTATGGCCGGAAGTCCGATGGGCGTTGGGGACTGAAGAAGTGCGCTCCATTTCGGTTCCCTCCTTTCTTGGCTTTGGAGCGTCTGGCGGGGGCGGGGGCGTTGCTGAGGCGAAAGGGAGAAGAGCAGCAAGGAGAGACAAGACAGACAGGCGCTCAGCTGGGGGGTTTCTGACATCGGAATGCGGCAAACATCCAACCACCCCACCCAGGCGGACTTTCGAGTCGTCGGAGTTCCAGTCGTCATTCGATGGCGAGGGTGGTGACGAGTCGGGCGGGAGCCAGCCGGCGGCCAAGCGTGCACGCACCGCCGGCGGTGCCGTCCAGGCTGGCAAGAAGAAGGGCCCGGGCGGTCGTCCCATCAAGAGCGAGGTCAAGTCGGCCGAACAGTTCCGCAAGGCTCAGATTGTGCGTACCACGTAGCCAGGGCAATGTGTCTGCGATTGTGTGCTCTCCCTCCCTTTTGAATGTCCACGCGCTGACCGCTTTTCATTTTTCCCGTCCTTTTTTTTTCCGGTGCGTTGTGTGCGCGCACACCCTCTGCAGACCAAGCACCGCAAGCAGGAGTTCATGGAGTCCCGCCGCCGTATCAACGAGAAGCGCCGTGCTGCCTCTGGCAAGAAGAAGAAGTGATTGTGCTTTGCCCGTGCGCCTGGGAGCACGTCAAGGCCCTGGCCATCCTCCGGCCATTTTTGGGCGGTTGCCGCCCATGCCCAACGGGGGCCTGGCTGTGGGAGCGACACACACACACATACCCCGGCCAGTCCGATTTTCCCCTCCTTGCTGCCAATAAAGATAGATAATCATCCAACACACCCGAGGACAAATGGAGGTCGCTTGAGGGGAGGAGAAAAAAAGAAAAAGTATATTGCTCTGAAGGAGGGGGGAAAAGGGGAAAGCCTAAACTACAGCTCACCGTCTAGGAGACAAAGGTTGTGCAAAGAGACGAAGGGGGAGGGGAATTGCAGTTGTAAGTGCGTGTGTGTGTGTGTGTGTGTGTGTCTCGGCGTGCAGGCATGGCGATGAAGGCATGGGCAAGGAGGAGGGCGAGAGAAGGGGAGAAAGAGGGGGGGGGGGCGGGAGACGCACCACTGGGGACATCCTGCTGGAGAGAATCGATCTCAGCCTGGATGGTATCCAGACGGCTGTTGATCGATCGGATGTTGTCTTCGCTCTTGAGGAAAATCTCCTCCGTCTGGGGGAAGCCAGCAAAGGAGCCGGACACATCATCGCCATGGGACGGCGGCAGAAGGAGTCGATCGGTGGACAGGCTATCCACCAAGGGGTGCACCGGTCCTGAAGGGGTGATCCCCACGGCGACGTGGCCGGTGGAGAAATCCGGCGGCGAGTGGCTCAGAGGGAAGTGCAGATCCGAATGGGGATGCCCGCGGGTGTGATGGGAAAGGGAAGGCAGTGGGGCATCCGAGTCCGAAACGATGATAACCCCAGGACCAGGGACAGGCGTGGAGGCGCCTCCAGGACTGTGGTGCGAGAGGATCGCATGAGGATGCGCCTCGACCAGGGGATAGTAGGGAGATTGGGATGGTTGGGAAGGCTGCTGCGCGGCCGATGGAGAGAGAGTGGCGGCCTGGACAGCATCATTGGCCAGCTGAGGCAGCTCGGAAGCATGGTGTGTGCTCAGGGTGGGAGAGGTAACGGCCGAGGAGGCGCCGGAGCTGGAAGAGGCAACCGGAGTCGGGGCGGTGGAGGCAACACCGCCCCCCGGGGTGCCGGACTGGCCCGGGGCCGAGGGAAGCTCCTGAACTTGGGACTGCGACTGCGGCTGCGGCTGCGGCTGCTGTTGCGAAGCATACATGTCCGCATGGCCACCTGCATTGACGGAGAAGCCCGCCCCTGGAGGCGGGAGGCCACGGGTACCATAGCTACCGTGATGTGGGTGGCCGTTGGTATGATGGACCGATGGCGGTGGGTCATGGTGCCCATAGTGCGAGGCCGGCGGACCATGGTGCCCGTGGTGCGGCTGGGACAGGCCATGATGTGGCGGGAGCGGGCCATGGTGCGAGGGGGGACCATGCGACGTATGATGCCCATGACCGCCAGGCCCGACGCCGGCGCCGACATGCGGCGTGGTAACATGCGAATTGTGGTAGGTACCGCCATTGGGCGAGCCGTAGTTATAGTGGTGTCCGGCATCCGGCTGGCCAATGTAGTCGCCGGTGTCGCCGGGACCCGAAGGGGCAGTGATGTCCGAAATGACCGCCCCATCGGAATAGCTGGTGGAGGAGGCACGCGGCCCGCCGGGGCCCATGGATCCCATGGCAGTGGCCCCGCCGGCCCCCGGGGAGTGACCGCCATCGGCGCCCTGGAAATAGGTGAAGGGGGTGGCAGATTGGTGGAAGGCACCATCCGGGGCGCCGCCACTTCCGGGCCCCACGCCAGCATCGTAGCCCGGAGCACCGGCACCAGGGCCGGTGGACCCGGCCGACAGCTGGCGCCCAGTGTGAACACCAGCTCCGAAGCTCAGATGAGGGGGCGAGGGATTGGCATAGATTCCGGCCCCCGGCCCATTGGGACCACCGCCGGGGCCGCCAGTCGCATAGTGCCCGTAGGTGGTCGAAGAGGGGGCAAGGGACATCGGTGCGTACATGTCTTCGCTGGGATTCGGGCCGGTGCCAGAGCCAAGGGCACTGATGCCACCACTGGACAGTGTACGCGGGATGATGGATGAGGTCGTCGGCCCGGGGGAGGGCTCGGGGGTGCCAGATCCCCCGCGCAGAGAGGAAAAGAGGTCCATCGACCGGGAGGGCTGGAGGCTGGATGCGAAGGCCGGCAGAAGGGGAGATCCCGAAGCCCCGAGCCCGGGGGTGGTGACAAAGTTGCTGGCCATGCTCTGGAGCAGGGGGAGGGGATTCTGCCCGGCGACAAAGGTCCCCGGGTGAACCGCGGCGGCCCCGGGGCCAGCTGCATGCATGGCATTGGAAGCCTCCTTGAAGATGAGATGGGGGAGGGCGTCGGGGCCATCCCCGCGGCCACTGGTCAGCAGGCGATTGGTGGACAGGGGGGCAGCCGGGTGGTGTCCCATTTTGGTGTAGATGATGAGAAACTGCATGATCCGGTCGGTGAGCTTGCGCTGGCGTTCATAGCGCTCTTGCGTGCTTGCGACCTGGTCCCAGAGGCTCTAAGGGGGGGCAGGGGGAGAAAGGAGGAGAGACGAGCACCGGAGACGATGACTGGGGTCAGTATGCACGTGGACATGCTTCGGCGGCGGCGGCGGCGGCGGCGGCAAAAGGAGGAGGAGGTGGGAAAGGGGAAAGAGAAAAAAGCGGACCTTGTTTTCAGAACGAAGGAGTTTGATGCTCTCGCTGAGGAGGGCCTGCTGCTGGCGAATCTGGTCAATGCCTTGGATGGCTTTCTTAACATCGGAAGAGGTGCCAGATGCCTGATGGAGAAAGGGAGGAGTACACGACGAAGAAATGACAAGAAGTTAGCATCGCGCGGGGGGGGGGGGGGGGAACAAAAAAAGGGCCTGGCCAAGGAGTGAGAAGAAAAACCAGGCAAAATGAGCAGGACAGCACGTACTCTGGGCTCGGAGTTCTTTCGCTTCACATGGATGAGCATGTCCGGCTTGTCGCGCATGAAGTTCGGATTGACGAACTCCCAAGCATCCTGGTCCTCCTCCGGCTGGAGGACTCCCTGGTGCGTGTGCGGGACCTTCTTGAAGCCATACATGTTCAGCTGGCGCACGAAGCTGGAAAAGTTGCTGTGCTTGAAGTACTTGGGCAGAACCTCGCGCGCGAACCCCTCAGGCTTGAGAACGAGGAAGGTCGTTCCATTTTGGTTCCAGGTCATCAGGTGCTGGAACTTGTTTTCGGAAAGCATGCTATGTATGCACGAAGGAAAGACATTAGAACGGAGAGAGAAATGCTGGGGAGGAAGAGGAAGAGGGGGAGGCACAGTGGCAGGGATGGAAGCAAAGAGATGCTGAGCACACGCACCGATAGAGCTTGTCCAAGAAGGCAGGGATCTTGACATCGCTGGAGTCCGTCAGCGCAAGCTGGGTCTTGGTGCGGCGGGCAAGGGCTGCACGGCCGGCGGCACGGGCGGGAGGTTAGCAAGAACAAAGGCAACAAGGGTGAGGGAGAATAGGAGCGGTCGCTAGCGTGTGCGTGCTTGCGAGCATGCGCGAATGCAAATGCGACGCAAGCACAAGCGGAAGGGCACGACCGCCAGCCGAATGACACAAGTGCGTACCTCCGCCTTCAACTTTGATGGCCTTCGGAGGCGGGGAGGACACTGGCGAGGAGTATTGCGAGTCCTCGGAGTCGGAGGAAGGCTGTGGCGCGCGACGCTTCCCCCGAATGGAGGCCGTTGAGGAGGAAGAAGAAGGCGCGACCACCGAGGAAGAGGAAGCCGAGGTCATGGAGGAGGAGGAGGCCGAGCTCGAGAGACCCCCGGCCGTCGGGGACTCGGGATCCGAGGGGGGATCAGTCGGGGGCCGGGCATTCGATGGACGCCGAGCGGTGCGAGCGTTCCGGGGGGCGACGTGCGGTGGCATCGCTCTCTCTGGGACGAGGGAAGGGAACTGGGGGGGAGAGAGAGAGTGTGTGCGTGTGCGTGTGTGTGTGGACGCGGACCAGGAACTACGCGATGATGAGGGGGGAAGGAAGGGAGGG